GTGTGGGCACCTTCATCCCATGCGTGCTCTGGAGGCAGCCATGCTTGGAGAGTCCCACACACACCTTCACAAAGGACCCCTCGGTATGATTGTCCTCCCACACCCACTCCAAAAGCCCCCTCCTCTCTCTCTCTTCAGGGGCCAGCAGGTCCCAGAGCAGCCATTTGGCTGAAGGAAGGGGCAGGGCAGTGCACATCTGATCTTGCCGTAGCATCCTTCATTTTGTGGGCTCTGGGAGTGGCCTGGCCTCTGGACTTTGGCCACAGTGTTTGTTCCAGCTCTTCTCCTCACCTGTCCTTACCAGACAGTCAGCATATAGGTTATTAGCACCTCACGTACTTCCTGTCATGCTCCTCAGTCCTGATTTTGATCATCTCCTGCTTCCCATCTGTGTCAGTCAAGACTACATTTGGCTCTAAGAAACAGAAGCCCCAACTAACTGTGGCATGTACATGAAGAGGTTTCCTTGTCTCACATAATCGGATGCATGGACTTGGGCAGTACCTCAAGGGTCATTTCTCAAGGATCATGACCTCAAGGGTCATGATCTTTATCTGTCTTTATCCTCTGTCATCTTTAGGGTTGTATTGTTGCCTCATGGTTACAAAGCGGCTGCTGCACTTCCAGCCATCACATCTGCCTTTGAAGCCAAAGGGGCCCTGGGGCCCACTGGCCAAAAGGGCCCTGAAAGCAAATGTGTCCCCTTTTTATTAGGAAAGCAGGAGTTTTCTTGCAAATGGCAGTCTTCTACTTAGTCTCATTGGCCAGAGCTGGGTCTTATGGCCATCCCTTGCTGCAAACAAGGCTGAGACAGTGAGCATTTTGCCTTCGAGCCTCTTTAGCAGAAGACATCAAAGGAGAAGAATATTGATAATGGCTTTCCAGTTACCAGTTGGCAGTATCTGCCCCTCTATCTCTCCATCCTCCCCAGGAAGGTTCAAGGTTCCTTTCTCAGCACTTCTCAGGCTCTCACATTCATTTGGATCTTGGGTCTCAGGGTGAAAAACTGGTCCCAGTGTCTCCCCAAGCACCCGCCTTTGGATTAATTCGGAAAGTGGCTGTCAGGTGCCTGCCCATTGCTTGGTATAATGCTGTATCTTTGGAGGACGCAGCAGGTGTGGGCCTTACCGCTGAGGTTCTTAGCTTCGTGAGAATATCCATGTCAAATTCTTTTGGCTCTCCTTCTTAGAGCCAGTGATGCAAGACATTTCCTGCTCATCTTGTCGGGACGGTTTTGCAAGTTGCCTGCTATCCTGAGAAAGTCCTACCAAACGATGCTAGGCCTCATGCCAAGCTTCCCAAGCCTTGGCTTTCAGTGCTCCCTCAACAGGAGGAAGAATCTCCCGGACAAGTCTTGAGGTACCCTGGACCCTGTGCAGGTGTGAGACTCCAGAGCCTTGGCTCCCGCCCCTGGTGGAGGGAGCCCTGCTGGGGCTGGACTCTTGCCTGGCTGCTCCGCGGGCACCCAAGACAACCAGAATTAAAATGCCCTTCTTTGAACTTGGAAAGCCTTCAAGGCGGACAACTCCTCATGTGTACCCAGAATGGCCTGGGAGTGTGCCAGGGCATTGCTCAGGAGGAACGCCGATTTGGAAGTGTTCATCTTGATGAGAAATTGATAGTAGCTCCTGGTGGCAGAGCTTTCGCTCCTGCCTCTGCTGTGAAGGTGGACCCACCTGACAGTCAAATGCCTGAATCTGGACAGGACTGGTCCTATTTATTGCCATATAGGGGACTCTGCCCTTTTGGACTGTGGGTTATGGGATTGGAGATAAGGGTTGGATAAGCTGGTAGAAGTCTTGGAAGTCACCTAGAGATGACACTCCCACTTTGCAAATGAGGAAAGTGTCCAATCAAAATGGACCAAGGACTTACCCAAAACCTCACAGCAAAACCATAGGCCCCGCCCTAACCCTGAAGTCCCTCTGCTGTCTTAGTCTTTATTCTCGACTTAAGGATCAAATAGCTGTGAGCAATCATCTGGTTTTCAATATTTTTTTCTTTAAAAATGGCTGGGGCCATGCCTAGCAGTCCCTTTCATGGCAGCGTTTCCACAGGACTGCCAGCCTTCCCTGGTGGATGAGCAGGCAGTTCGTGAGCCAGTACCACGCAGCAGCATGTGAGTCTGCTTCCTGGGGATCTGGCAGCGGGGGCTTCGAGCCCTGCTTCAGGGCTGCTTTCTCGCAAATGGCTGATCCCCTCCTCACTCCCCCTCCCCGCATTGCTCCTGCACAAGAAGCAAAGGTGAGGGGCTAGACGTGGCTCGTCGTGGCCCCTCTAAGGTGGTTCTCGGTGGTTTCCAGATGTGACAGCGCCCTTAGTGGATGAGAGAGCTCCCGGCAAGCAGGCTGCTGCCCAGCCCCACACGGAGATCCCAGAAGGAACCACAGGTGAGGGTGAGCCCCAGACACCCCTGGGCAGTCAAGACCCTGCTGGGTGCCCCAGCTGACCTGCAACAGAGTGAGGGCGCTTTGTGTGTTTATCCCCCTGTGAGGCAGGAACATGGGGGGGATGCTGGCTTCTGAGAATCTTGGGTTGTGAGTAGCTCGATGCATTGGTGCCTGGTGACCTCCCTGGTCATTTAGGGCCCTCTGGACTCCTTCTAGACGCTCCTCATCTTGCCTCAGTCAGCACATCAGTTCCAGGGAGTTCTCTGCAGGGTTTTCTGGGGCAGATGGTGGCAGACACCTGAGGTCAATCCACCCTCCTGCTCAGACTGCTCGGTGCAGGGTCACCGCTTAAGGGGTGGACCCCAAGGTCACCTGAGTGCACAGAGGGTGCAGATGACTGGACCGCACATGTTGGCGAGTATAATGGGGTGGTCCCAGAGGAGCTGAGACAGGTGACCTGGCTCCCATTTCTGGGACTCTGTCTCCTTTTCAAATGTAGTCATGTAGAACAGGCATGATGAAAATACCTTGTTAACACGGGTGATGGGGAATCGATTAGGCAGGACGCTGGGCTCAAGGCCGCAGTCACCCAAGAGTGGCTCAGCCCACCATGCCTAGGAAGCGCCCACATAGCCTGGCGCTCCCGGAGACATTTCCTGCGTGTCTTACTCCCTGCACTTATGTAAAGATGCCAGCCATTAGTTTGATGATTTGGAGGGTGCCCAGTTGCCCAACAAGAAATGCAGAAGAGGTCTAGACAGGATTTCACTAGCAATGGAGCGCAGGGAAGATGTGCCCAGGCAAGCGGTTTGTTTCCTAAAGATGGTGATCTCTGCAGCTACTGGGGAAGCCTGCAGCGTTCTCTAGGGCTCTGCGTGTTGAGAGCAGCCCCACCCTGCCCCCTGCTGAGTGCATTTCTGCTTTGTGACTTGATCGGTGGGTCTCCTGAGATGGGTGGAGGGGATGTCCTAGAAGGTGAGGAACAACCTCATCCTTGAGCATGAAGGACATTTGAAGACCGTGGCACAACCCACAGGATGAGATCACGGGGAGCTGGAACTTCCTCCTCTCCCTTCACAATTATTCCACTAGGGAAATCTCTCCCCTGCCCAGAATGAAAACTCGACACAACTCTTGACTTTTCCATCACTCTAAAGTAACTGAAAGTACTTTAGTCTCCACAGTGGCGAAACACAGTGTGCAAATGCTAAATAATGTAGACCGCCCAGTCCCATGTGACAGTCAAAGCTTCTAACTCCATTCAGAGTTGCGGCTGTTCCCCTGGGGGGCTGGCAAGGAGGGGAGGGGTGAGAGACGCAGGAATGTCCTTACTGAGCCGCTCCTGGTGTGAGCTGCCTCACACTCGCTGCAGAGGTGTCAAGGAGACACTCTCTCTCTCTGTCTGTCATGGGGACCTTATTTGAATTCTTCTAGACTCTTCCCCCAGCCCGCCATCTCCAGCTATCCTCCCCCAAAGAGCCCTTCCTCTGCTCTGGATTCTGGTGGCTGTGTCCTCTCTCCTCGGCCCCATGGGAGTCTGAAGATCTGGCTGCAGCCTCACCTTTGCGGTCCTGCTGGTGGCCGCCTCTTAGACATGATATGAGGCTCCCATGCCCTCTGTCTGGCCTGTCCCCACATGGGGTCCATGGGAAACACGCCAGCAAAGCAAACTGTGGGTGCATGGATGGGCCTCGGGGCTGTAGCAACTGCCCTTTGCTCTGCCCCCAAAGCAAGGCCAGCCCATCTTCCATCCTCTAGTGTTCCTTGGTGGGGCCCTGACCACAGTCCACCAGGTCCCTAACCAGAGGGGACACGCACCAAGTGTCCCAATGTATTGCCTTGAAACAATTGTGCTGGGACTGTGATGGGGGGTGGCCAGGTAGCCACTCCTGTCACCCCCAAGCCACTCTCCCCAAGGAAATCCTCTTCAAAGTCCCCTTTACGCCTTCCATGTGGTGGGGAGGTTCTGGAGTTGGGTGCATATGCCTTCAGCTACCGGCATACAGACCTCTGTTGGCACCTCGCTCTGGCCTATCCTGTTGGCTATTCTTGGCACTCCAGTGAAACTCCCCACAGCCCATCCAATCGGGGTGCAGTGTGGCCACCCTGCTGCAGGGTACTGCCTTGCTGGAGAGCACAGGGCCCCCTGGCTCTTCTAAAACACTCCCAGCGTACAGAGAGGCCATCAGTGATGTGAGGCCCAACCTCCACCATGCCCTCCCTCCCTCCACCGTGCCCTCCCTCCCTCTACCGTGCCCTCCCTCCTTCCACCGTGCCCTCCCTCCCTCCACCATGCCCTCCCTCCCTCCACTGTGTCCTCCCTCCCTCCACTGTGTCCTCCCTCCCTCCACCATGCCCCACCTCCCTCCACCTTACCCTCCCCTCCTCCGCTTGGCACCTTCCCTCCCTCCACCATGCCCTTCCTCTCTCCACTCCATGCCCTCCCTCCCTCCACCGTGCCCTCCCTCCCTCCACCGTGCCCTCCCTCCCTTCACTCCGTGCCCTCCCTCCCTCCTTGGTGGGATCAAGGCTGCACAGCCTCCAGTTCCTGACTCACGCTGGGCCAGCTACCACAGCTCTGCACTGGTGTGTGACAGCAGGGTAACTCACCCAGTGCTGCAGCAGCGAGGACGTCCGGGGAAGCCTCCTCATGTCCTCTGTCTCAAGGACTCTGGCATTTGGCTGGACTTGCTGTTGCTCTGAGCCTTTCTGCCATTTCCATCACGTTGCCAGAAACTCAGGCCGAATCTGTACTCAGAGCTGTGCCTGGGCAGTTGAGCCAACACTTGCTCAGTGATGTTGTCACATGACAAGGTGCTGTCCCCAGTGGGCTTTGTGGGCAGCTCACTGTCAGCCAGATGGACCCTGAGGGTGTCTGTGTCACACTAGCGCTAGCGATGGGAGCCCTCTGAGCCCACTGCCTGCCCTCCCATCCCCTCAGCAGCTGCCTGGAACTGCCAGTGGCCTGGGTGTTTCTGAAGCTACCATGTGGCTGCTAGGCAACTCGAGAACCTTCCTCTCCCACACCTCAGCTCTTTACACAGGCCTGTGCTGGCCAGTGCTGGGGATCCAGCATTCCTGTCTTAGGTTCAGAGACTGACTCATCGCAGGCCTGGGAGATAAGACTAATGGCCTGGCCAGCAGCATGTAGGCATTTGTCAGAGGCAGTTGCCTCTGACACTGTCCTCAGGGAATGCTGGTGATTCTGGTGGCCTGAAGTCAATGCATGTCAATGTGCCCGACTTGCCTTATAAACTCTTCCTCTGGACAATTGCATGCTTTGTCCTTTAACCATGTCCTGATGGTTCGTGATGCAGAAATTGGTGTTTTTAAAGCATATTGATTTGGGTGCTATTGATGTGGTCCAGAACGTTCTCATTCTTTCTTGTTTGGGGTGAGATGTGGCTTCCTAAACAGGAGCCCAAGACACCCCCAAATCTGCTCACCAGCACTGCCAGCCTCCCTCTCACAAGGTAGCACCCATTCAGGACATTCTGTGAAAAGCATTTGCCCAGAAGTTGGGAGGAAGGAAACACAATAGTTAGGGGCACCTACTGTGTGCCAGGCACCAGGTTAAACATGTCCACACAAATTCTCTTAGTAACCCTCACCGTCCTTCTAGGAGACAAACTAATATCTTCATCTCAGGGTTCTGGATGAGGAAACAGAGGCTCAGAGAGGTTGAATGAATGCTGGTTCCTGGATATGAACCCCATCTCCCTGGCACCACAGCCCAGGCCAAGCCTTTCCTTGAACTTCCCGCCCTCCTGGGGCACTGGCTGGGACTTTGGGTGCAGTCACTGCGTAGACACAGCCTGCACGACGTGGCTCAGCAGCAAACTGCTTCTCTGACCTCACTCATCCTGTGTGTCCTTGTCGAGTGAGGCATCCAGGACCCCGGTCCCAAAGTGGAAAAAGCCTTTCCTACTAGGTTGTAGCCACACCTGCATGTGGGTCTTGTGCATTTCGTTTAGTGAACTTTTATCACCAGCATCTGCAATGACATTTGCAGAGAAGTCAGAGCTGTGGCACCTTGGTATTCTTGGGATGTGACTTCCCTGAGTGTTTTAGGAAAAATACCAGAAGATATAGAGAGCTTGGTTCTAGCAACAATAACTGTCTTGTTTTTATTCCCCCTTCATTTGCTGATATACACACTAGCTGAAGAAGCAGGCATTGGAGACACCCCCACCCCGGAAGACCAAGCCGCTGGTCACGTGACCCAAGGTCAGTGAACTGGAATTGCCTGCCGTGAATTGGGGGTTAGGAGGAGGAACGTGGGGTGGGCTTTGCCCTGAAAAGATCATTTGGACCTGAGCCCTAATTCACAAGTCCAGGAGATTTTAGGGAGTTAGTTCTTATCAAAGGTTGGCTGCTCAAATTTAGAAAGAGCCCTAGTGTTTTTTTTTCTAACACCCTTTCTGGGCAATTCTTAAGGCGTTTAGTGTCCCGAAAGACATGAGAGTTGAGAATGAATGTGTAACAGAAACTCAAGGCCGGGCATGGTGCCTCACGCCTGTAATCCCAGCACTTTGGGAGGCCCAGGTGGGCAGATCACCTGAGGTCAGGAGTTTGAGACCAGCCTGGCCAACATGGTGAAATCTTGCCTCACTAAAAATTTAAAAATTAGCCAGATGTGGTGGCGCGTGCCTGTAATCCCAGCTACTCAGGAGGCTGAGGCAGGACAATCACCTGAACCTGGGAGGTGGAGGTTGCAGTGAGCTGAGATCACATTACTGCACTCCAGCCTGAGCAACAAGAGAGAAACTGCATATTAAAAAAAAAGAAACTCAAACGTGTGGGGACAGTTCTTGCTGCAGGCTGCCCTCTGGCCCATCCAGGAGCGAGGCTTAACCATGTCACCCCCAAGCTATTGCTTGTAAACTTTCTTCTGTGTACCCTTCAAACCTCATGATTTTCTTTTCAGGAACCAAACTACTGTGTTCAAGAAAGGCAGCTTTGCATAATCATTTATCATAAGTATCTTAAAAACTTTAAAAATCCTAGAGATTCCTGACTTTAGGAATAGAAGGCCTCTGATACTGACATAATGTGGGCTGAGCTTGTTTTCTGTCATCTGAGAGATGAACAAACTTGAGAGCCTACTGTAAAATGTGGAAGTTTCTAGATTGCAAAAGGGCAGGGAAGATGCTGTTCTTTTCTCCCGAGGGATGGGATTTGTCCAGTGTTTAGAGCTGCCTCTGAGGCCATCTCATTCTAGGAGACTCTGCCTTGTTGAGGGTATTTTGAGGCCTAACTACACATTCCTGCCCCCAGAGGGGTCATAGCCTGTAGCAGGTGACATTTCTCTTCTGACATGACACAGAAAGTCTCAGTTTTGTTGTTAGGTTAACAAAGAGCTTCAAAAACTGTTAGAAGGGACGACGACTGTAAGGGTGGAATCTCAGATGATGTGTGAAATTAACTAGAAGCCTGGCTCCTGTTTCTCTGAGGTTATATTTTTCAGCTTAGGTAAGATTAGAGGCATTGATAAAGTATGATCCCTAGAAATCACGTATTTTCATAAATAGAAGTGAATTTGTTTTTCTGCCAATTTATAGTGTAGGCTATGTCTACATGCCCCCAGAACATATTGCATGCAATTAAAAAAAAAAAAACTGGCCACCATCTTTCCTGGGAACTTGACTTTCGTGCTCACTGAATTTTACGTTTTCTGACAGCAGCCTGGAATCCTATAGGGATAAAGTACCTATTAGCAAAATGGAATAAGGTGTTTGAGGATAGAGCTGCAGTGTGTTGAGAATAAGATATGGGAAGGCCTATATACGAGGGGTGGACTTTTCTTCTGTAAGTGTCGGGAGACCAGGCCTCCTGAAGAGGGCATGGGGGCTTAACCTACCTGGACTACTGTGTTTACAATACTCATTTATCTTGAACGCCTTCTAACCCCTAGGAATTGCTACATTTAATATTTACTGAGTACCTAGCATGCTAGGAAATCAATAGAACATTCTCCCAACCAGGCCGGGTGCGGTGGCTTGCGTCTGTAATCCCAGCACTTTGGGAGGATAAGACAAGCAGATCACTTGAGGCCAGGAGCGCGAGACCAGCCTGGCCAATGTGGTAAAACCCTGTCTCTACTAAAAATACAAAAGTTAGCCAGGTGAGGTGGTACACATCTGTAATCTCAGCTACTCAGCTACTCGGGAGGAGTAGGAGGCAAGAGAATTGCTACTGAGGCAAAAGAACTGCTTAAACCTGGGAGGTGGAGGTTGCAGTGAGCTGAGATCATGGCACTGAACCCTAGCCCGAGCGACAAAGTGAGTGAGACTCCGTCTTAAAAAAAAAAATTCTCCTAACCTGGCTTCTTCCTCCAGGGGTGTAATTGATCATGTCAGTTTCCTCATTGATACACACACACACACACACACACACACACACACACACACACACACAGAGTACAATCCTGTATCCATGATTTTTCAAGGAACATTTGCTATTTATGTTTGGGGTCCTTGTCTCTTTTTTTAATGGTGTTTCTTAAAGTATTGTATTATATCAGAGTACAGTAACATCCCAGTCAAGAGCACTGTAGTAAACTCCAGGAGGAAAGCGTCTTCTAGAAGGCAGTGGAGACCTGGCTCGTCGGGGTGGCGTAGGGGCAGCCCCTGCCTCTGGTCAGTCCTGACGCTCAGGCTCAGGGTTGCCTCTGGCTGATCTTCCCGGAGACTGATCAAGGTCTCCCATAAGACACCTACAGAGCCTGTGAGAAGCAGAGACACCAGTTGATTCGCGCAGGATCCACTGATTTAACCACCTGCCATGTGGCAGGCACTGTGGTGGATGTAGGAACAGGGATTGCAGGAGCTTTAAGCGTGGCCAGCGTCAGGCTGGAGGTGCTGCTGCGCTGGAACCGGGCCTGTCAGGGAGGAGGCCATGGCAACCACCCTGTCTCCGACTGGGTCAGGCCCACGTGTTACCTGTGCGTCCATGACTGCACCTTCCTCCCTCGCCTCATCCAAATCTCTTTCTTTTCCAAGCCCCCAAATCCTTCAGGGCTGCAGGTTTTGTTTAAAGCAGAGCTGTTGAGTTGCATGTTGTTGTACTGGGACAAGGTGGGGTATTCAAAGAGTTGGGAGTTAAAAAAAAAACATCAAGGGTGCTTATTAGGAGAACCAAGGAGTGTAATCCTCCTGTTCTTAACACGCAGCCACATTAATGAATGTCACATGAATGAGCCAGAAAAAAATGAAGTGTGCCCTTAATCAGCTGGATTGGCGAGCAGCAAGCTGTGTGACCAGGGCACGGTGGTGGTCCTGAGGGCCATCACTGTCTGCCGTGCAGAGCCCTTCCTCCCAAACGGGCTGACCTCAGCTGTGCAGGGGGCTTGTCTGCGGTCAGTGGCCCCGGTAGATCTGAATGGGTCTTCTTTTTTGAGGAGTCTTGTGGCAGGTCAGTCGGTAAAGACTTCGTTCTTGACGATCACACATTTTGGATTTTCCGAATCTGTCAGACACTGTGCTTGAGGTAGAGTTTGTGGGCACCGGTTTCACTCGTTTCATTTACCAAAAAAGGGAGCAGAAGTCAAATATGGTGGCTCATGCCTGTAACCCCCAAGGCAGGAGAATTGCTTGAGCCCGGGAGTTCAAGACCAGCCTGAGCAACATAAGGAGACCCCATCTCTACAGTAATAAAAAATAATATATTAGCCATACATGGTGGCGTGCATCTGTGGGCCCAACTACTCGGGAGGCTGAGACGGGAGGATCGTTTGAGCCCGGGAGTTTAAAGCTGCACTGAGCTGTGACTGCACGACTGCACCACTGCACTCCCGCCTGGGTGACAGAGTGAGACCATGTATCAAAAAAAAAAAGGTGGCAGGGGGAAGAGTGAAAGGTAGGGAGAGGAAAGGGGAGTCTCACTACACCCAAGCCAGGTACCATCTAGAGGCTAGAATCTTTGGGACACTCAGATTTTCTAGAATGTTGGAGACACTTCTGTAGCTCTCCTGCTTTCGCAGTGATTAAGCCTAGGCTGGCTCCAGATGTGTGACATACTCTATGCCCAACTGGAGCCCATCACAGGCAGAGGAATAACACCCATATCAGAAGGGGCCTCGG